TTTACAATTTTTCGGTTATTTATTGTTTGCAATTTATGCTTGAATATTCGTATTCGCATATACGAGTATATTCATTGTTCTTGTTGTTGTTGTTGTTGTGTATTTGGTCAAGTTTGAGTAACTGATTTATCGCATCGCATTTGCGTCTGTGTGAGTGCGAGTGTGCCTGAGTGTGTGTGTGGGTGTTGCCATATTGAAATGAGCGCCAAAAAATAACATATCCACCCGCACACACACACACATAAAGCTAGAAAGGATGTTTGCCGCAAATATTTGAGAGTATTTTTAAATTTCTAAGAATTGAAGCTGCGTACTTCCTTTTATTTGTAATGCACATATTTTAAGTATAAAAGCAACAACTGGAGATTTTTATCTTGGTTCGAAGTCTGATTTTTATGATCCAACAAATTAAAATACGTGCCAGTTATAAAGGTAGATATACAATGAGATTTGTATTGAAGTCGTATGTTTTAGTATGATAAGCTATTCTTCTTTTTAATTATTATATATATTTAAAGAAACCATATGCTAATTGTTAGCATTGAGTATCAAGTTATCGATATTACTAACGTCCGATAACAGTTATCGCTTGTTTTAATTTTAGTGTTGCACAGCACTGTTCCAAGTTTTTAGCCCCAACCGAAGCAAACTAAAGCTACATTTTCAATTACTTAAATGTAGTTGCCCCTCCCCATTTACCCCACAGCACTCCAAATACAGAATATTCCTAGAAATTTGTGCATGGATCATTTAGAATTTCGGCTTTTAATTGCAACTGTCTAAAATATATACGAGGCACAGCCTGTGCCTGTTTTGGTTAGACTCTTTTTTGTTGTTGTTGATGGACAAGGCACAATTAAGAATAAAGAAGAATATGAATTCCGTTTGGGCCAAATTGAACATGACATTTGTGCTGGACTGTTTGAGTTTTGCTAATGAAGCAGAGACTCATATTGTAGTATTTGTTTTGTTTTGTTTGGCCTGGCTTGGCTTGGCTTGACTATGAATTGGATTGGATTTCCATTTCAAAATTGTGCAATTTGTAATGAAGCAGTTGCTGTCATTGGCCAAATGACTTAAAATTGCAAATATGCAATGCTCGAAAGGCTGCAAAATGCATTTCCCATTGACGAAACGGGCACCATCAAAGAATTTCTTTGTATTGGCTAACTAATGCTCCCAACATAAAGAAGCTGCCTTCTAAATTCTTTATATTGTTGTCTGTCAACTATTGAGTTTCTTGTGGAATGCAGTTGCCTAGCTTAAAGACGTTTCTTAAAACTCATCGCTCAGCTGCATTTTTGATAAAGGAGCATAAGAATAAAATTCGCCTCAGGCTCAACATTTGAGCCAACATTTGTTTGCTTGCAAATAAATTTATATGCTGTGTGTTGTTTACTTAATGCCAAAGCTAGTTAATAAAATCTTTGAAAAATATTGTTTTAGTCGAGTTTATTCTTTAACCAAGCTTCGCCCCTCGACAACTATAAAATGCAATTAAAATGCAATAATCTGTCGCAGCGCTGATTCCAATTGCTTAACTCGCTGTCAATCTGTGGTGCGGCAGCGGGGCGGGGGCTTGGGGCTTGGGGCAGGGAATTGCTATCGATATTTTTGCATATGGAAGCGGGCTTTTGGTCTATGTTGCCGGTGGTCAAAAGGCAACTGCAATCAAAATTGCAAATACAATAATATGAAAAGCACAATGAAATAAATTGAAATACCTCAAGCTATGTAAATGGGCAACCAGCCACATGGACACACGCACAGGCCGACCCCGAACACACACACACACACACGCTTGCACCTATGTAGAGAGCAAATATGAACGAGACAACGGCAACAATAACAACAACAACAGTGTGCGCTGGCGGGTGTCACAACAACAAGAACAACAAAAAAAGTTTACTCGCCTTCCCTACAAGCTCCTACACCTACCCGAGGCACCCATGGGGCACCATGTCAGCGAGCTCTTGCTGGTAATAGGAACAGCTGGCGATATCAACGAACAGGTTACCTATGCTATATAAATCAGAGCAGGGAATCAAATAAAATGGATTATTTGGATATAGTCTACGACTATCCGGTCCGGTCTGGTAGATTTTATGAACAGAATATCATAATAAAAATATATATATATAAGTCCGGTAAAATCTGAAGTCCATGGATATTTATATACTTTGTATCCAGATAAAGACAAAAGACATAGCTCCATATTCTTTTATAGAAAATCGAATTAAAAGTATACAAATGTGTTAATATAAATCCAGGCAAATTTGAAGTCTATCACATGCAGGTATATATATACATATATATATACCTAGTTTAAGACAAATGGAATGGCTAGAAGCCCAGGAAAGATCTTTAGAGATCTTTCGTAACAAGCATATGTATGCATATGAATATTTCTGAGGGCGGAACAAAGTGGGCTTGTATTTTTATTGTTATAAAGATAAGCCCAGTATTAATAATATATATTAAAATAGATGTTGGCATAAACATAATGCCAGGAATTTAGAACAATAATGATTATGCTTATATTGTTTTAAGTATAGTTCCATAGTTATAGGTATAATCTCATTTAGTTCCATCCACCGATTGATTCAAATGTAACAATTTTTCTTATTACGAATTAAGTGACCTTTAAGTACTCTCTAAATGTCCACCAAGTAAAACCTATCCTCAAGGATTGTATAATATGGCATATATGCTGAAGAGTTGGCTAAATAATCCATGTGCATATGGGAATTTAGGATATATAACCACAATATATAGCATAGCTGATATTTTTCATATATGAAAGGGTATATTAGATACGTGTATCTGCTTGTTTTTTGGCAAGGAAATGGAGAAGGGCGCGTCTACGTAATCAGCATTTGTGGCGCTCGAGGTCATCCGCAAAGTCTTCAGGCGACATCGTGTTGCATGCGGCACAGCTACGTTCCACAGCAACAACAACAACAATGAGAGCAACAGCTACAAAAAAAGTTCCGTGTGGCTGCGGCCCAGAATGACGACGACGCCGCTTCATCTTCCTGCCTTGGCCGCTGCGGCGGCTGCGGCGGCTGCGGCGGCGGCTGCTTGGCCTGGGGCAACATTTTGGGTTGGCTGGAATATTATAATTACAAGCGAAACAGGCCCCAGAGGTGCCCAAAGCAGCGCCCAACGTTGGTTGCCCATGACAACATTGCCAACGACTGTGATGCCCAAATGAAGCTGAAGCTGAAGCTGGAACCCAAGCCGAGCAAGAGAACGAGAACGAGAACGAGAACGAGAACGAGATTGGGACTGGGATTGAGACCGGTAAGAAGGCAGAGACCGGGTGAGGCGCCCCAAACGACTGAGGACACAGTGACAGTTCCGCTTTTAGCCTGGCCCGGCTGTCAACCCGTGTGCGTGTGTGTGTGTGTGTGTGTGTTAGCCAGTTGCATGCAACTTGCAGCTGCTACCGAGCTGAATGCTAGTTGAGCTCTGACTGATGGGCCCGGCGAGGATGGCTCGCTTAGTTGGCCAGCTGCCGCTGCTGGGCACAAGGCAGATGTGGCACCAGTTCTACTCGCAAATTAAGACACAAATGACTTAACAGCTAAAGCCAAAGCCAAAGCCAAAAACGAAAAACGAAAACCTAAAACAACTTCATTCAACTGATTTTCGTGTGAAAATTATTGAAATAGATTTCCTAAAGCCAACATCAAATGACTCGAGCAACGACTTTGACTGCAGTCCATATACATGATCCCATACCATTTGGTATTTCGTATTTCGTATTGGGCCTAAGCACTTTCCTCGTCGTCATCGTCGTCATCTCCGTCTCCGTCTCCGTCTACCTCTAAGCGGACATTGGCGATTATCTTGTCCACGACTGTGAAATAAATGAGCGTCGTAGTCCGTACTAAGGATAGCCCCAGGGCCATTGTTGGCGCATTGTTGCTTCAAAGAAAAACAAAAATACCAAAGATAGGTTTCAATTTATCAGTGTGTGTACTTGAGTGTATGTGTGTGTGTGTGTTTGTTGTGTGCGATGTGGTTTTGTCTTCAAGGCAAACTGATTAAGAGCCAAAAAGTTCCCACATTTCATATGTATGTGTATTTAGCAGCTTGTGGGTGTGTTGGTGTCTCACTCTCTGCATGTGTGTGTGTGTGTGTGCGTGTGTGTTGGTGTGTGCATGGGAATGCCCTTAAGTTCAATTGGGCCCTTCGAGCGCATGAAACTCTCTGCGTCTGCGCACTCAGACGCAACCTTTTGTACAGTTGACCCTATGTTTGCATAGATTTCAGATTAAGCTCACAAATATTAACCTGATCCTGAGACCTTATGTCCTTGGCACCCTTTTTAAATAAAATTATGACTAGCATAGGTTATTTTGAAACATTAAATTAATTATGTATTCTACCGGGAATTAGCAGGAAAATGCATTCAAGGAATATTTCATGCAACTCGAATTTAGCCCAGCATATCTAATAAACAAATATAGCTTATAGAAGGGATATATATGTATAGATATATGGATAATTTATATACATTCAAAAATATTTTGGAACATTTTGCTGTACTTAAAATTAGTTCAAGGACATGGCAAATCTCCATATTATGTATATTCTGTATAGATTAAGATAAGTATAAAGCATTATTTGCGCTGCATTAGAATTAAGTTTAGGATATTTTACAGTGTCTATAAGCTCATTGACCTTTCCAACAAAGAGCTATCTTAATCTTAACACTAGGTTTTTACTACAGCAGCGATAAGATTATGGAAAGATTTCAATCAGTATTGGTAGCGATCCGATCGGGGATTGACATTATCTACCTATGGTATGCACACATGTATACATTGATATATATACTATATACATGCTGGAGCACTCATAGGCCCATACACTGCTGTATACAAGTTGTACAATCAGGTGTTGGAGTACCCTTATCGATTTCTAAAAATAAGAAACTACACATATTTGTTAACCGAATGCATTTACTTTTCAACTGTGCGCCAATTCAGTCCATTGAAATGTCTTTGATCGAGACTTACTACAACGAACAGGAAAAATGTTGGTATGGGCCGGAAAATGGGTTATTTAGCGATCCCAAAATATCCATAGGCGAAGTGGTATACCAAGCGCTCAAGACGGAGCCAAAAAATATATTTCAGGTATGTATGAGAAAAACAAAATAATAATTATAATCATTTAAATAATATGTAGATATCCCACGATAATGGACAAGTTGAAAGCAATGCGGAGGCTTTGACAGCAGCTGTCCGCATAGCCCAGTTCCTGAGCTCGGAAGGACTCTCGTACAGGGACAATGTCGGGCTTATAGCTAGACACGGCGTTCATGTTACTCACATTTTGTTGGGTTGCCTTTTCAATGCCACGCCCTTCCATGCCGTCAATCCCCAGCTGGAAACGGAAGCCATAGCTGCTCTGTATGCGACAACAAGGCCAAAGCTGATATTCTGCGATGGCGTCGCTTTCGAACTGTTGAAATCCCTAACTAAGGACTGGAGGCCAAAGATTATAACGCTGATCGATCATGTTGGGAACGTGCCCAGCATTGAGGATCTCTTGGGATCAACCAAAACGGATAAGAACTATGCGTAAGTAGAATTTAGAAAGGGAACCAATTGGAAACTAAACAGAATTAAATAACTTAAGAAACTTACTGGAAACCAGATGGTATGGGATATATTGAGCTGAATAAACATTCCGGTTAAGCAAGTTTCCGATAGCTTTCGGATAACAGATATATCTTATTATATTTGTAACTTATATAAACACTTTATAGACCCGTAAAACTTGTGCAGGGCGGCGATCAAACTATGGCCATTGTGTGCTCCTCGGGCACTTCGGGCTTACCCAAGGCTGTGACAATAACCAACTCTCAACTATTGCTGATATCACCGTGAGCTCCAACCTTCCAGATGACGTTTCTTTGAATATCTAAAACCCTTTTCCATTGCAGCGTCAGCGGCCTTAATGATGTGGTGTACACAACCGCTGGCTATGATTGGTTGTCCGCCATAAAGTGTCTGCTGAGCAGCACCCTCAACGGAGCAGTTCGCGTTGTTTCGCGTCAGCCCTTTAGCACGGAGCTGATTGTGGATATTGTCAGGAAATGGCAGGTGACTTACTGTTATCTGTCGCACTGGCAGTTCAATGAGCTGTTCACCAGCCCGTTGGCCACGCAGGAGCACCTGTCCAGCCTGCAGTTCGTGCAGTACAGCGGGGGCTGGGTATCGGCGGGTGTTGTGCAGGCAGCTCAGCGCATCATCGAATCTACGCTCTTTGTGTGTGTGTACGGCACAACGGAAACGGATGGCATAGCGCTGTGCATCAATCCGGAAACGGAAAATCTGGTGGGCGCTTTGCTGCCCGGCATTACGGTGCGGATCGCAAATGAACAGGGTGACAGGCTGGCGCACAACGAGATTGGCGAAATACTGATAAAGACTAACCAGAACTGGAATGGTTACTACGGCAATCCGGCGCAAACGGCTCAAACGCTCGATTCCGAGGGCTGGTTCCACATGGGAGATCTGGGCTACTTTGATAAGGACAATAGGCTTTATTTAGTGGATCGCAAAAAGGATTTGCTTAAATACAAATCCATGCACTACACACCCAACGAGATTGAGAGGATCATCATCGAGTTGCCGGATGTACAGGAAGTCTGTGTGGTTGGCATTAAGGATCGGTTATATGGTGATGCGGCTGGCGCTTTAATTATCCGCAAGCCCAATAGCCTCTTATCCGAACAGCAGGTCATCAATCATGTGGCCGAACGTATTCCCGTCGAGTACAAGCAGCTCCATGCGGGCGTTCGCTTTGTGGACAGAATTCCCGTCAATGCCAACGGAAAGCTGCTGAGAAATGCAGCCAAAGAAATATTTAAAACCACTCCAAGATGGCCAAAAGCTTCGCTTTAAGTTCTATTAAAAATGCATCAAGCAATTTAATCAGATTCTATTAAGTATGTATACATACGATACATTTTTATTGTGTGCGTCGCCTGCATTACGCGCTGCAGAGTTTTTATCCTGAGAGCGTTTATCCGGACACTGGACAGAGTGGATTGACAACCAACAAATGAAAGCAAATAGTAGATGAACCATTACAGCTTTTGATCCCGTTTTGCATTTGGATTGCACGCGTTAGCTTTTGACGGAGAGTGAGCATTATGAACGGCAAGCGTGGGTGGGGTACGTTCATATATCCTCTGCGCTCGCGCCATTGGTCGCCTTGCTTTTGATCCCGTTAACTGAACGAATAGTGTGCAAGGCGGATAGCCCTAATGTCGCTTCGGCATGGGCGCAAGCATGACGCATTTAGTATGTGCGCGTCTGCCTAATTGATCGTACGTATTCTCCGCGCGTGTATGTCAAATTGTTTTATAAAAAGTATAATAAATTAGCGTCGAGCTAAACGCGGTTAATTATTTTGTGCAGCATGTGTTATTTAAATATATTTGTGATTCCATAGTTTAAAATAGATAAAAAAGTCATCAAAACGCGAGCTGTTTAGTTTTTGTTGCCCACTTTTTGCAATGAAAAAATGGAAGCAAATTGGCGCACTTTATAACTGCACACACAACCAGAGAGAGAGAGAGAGAGAGAGTGGAACACAAAAGGGAGAGAAAGAGGAGAGCATTCCGAAGCTTTTCTTGGGCAAGTAAGTGAGGCTCAAATAAATGGCATGTTTATTTCCATGGGATAAGATAAAAAAAAAGCTCGTGTTCAACAAGCTTTGGATAAGCGAATAAAAATAAGTTAAATGCATTATAAAAACCTTTAGTTGGGCAAATTAAAAGCAAAGAGTTGCCATTCGGATCAAGTTTTGTTTCGTTTAATTTGCTCCCTGGGTAAGAATTTCTTATATATGTACATATATTTTTTTTTATATAGTCTTCATCTAGCCATCGGCTGCATTTCATGTGAAATATGTATTACGAAGAGGAACAGAGCAATGGGAAATTCCCTGGCGGCGATTTATTAGTAAAAAATGTTTCGTGTTTCGGCGTCTGCGCGTCGCATTGTTCGTCGTGTTGTGTTTACGTTGTAAGCTGTTGCTGTGCGTTGTTGCTGTTGTTGTTGTTGTTGTGGTTGTTGCTGCTGCTGCGTTTGCCTTTTGGCCATGATAATTTAGATGCTGTTGTTGTGATAACAATACACACACACACTGAGACACGCACGCCCTAGCTAAACCCAAAGCCAAAGCCAAAAACTGCACGAACAAGTTGGGAGTCTCAGGGGTAAACTGGAGGGGGATTTCTTTCGGTTTCTGCCTGACTCTCGTCTATCGCTGGCCTACAAGAATTTATGGTCAATGTGAAAGTAACCTTGATTTATGGCCCCCATCAGACCATCACCTCAAATAGGTTCGAATTATATAAATTGTGCCACATACATAGGTATAAACTGTGCAGGTGCCCTGGGCAAAAAGGATTAGCTCGCTGCAGGCTATGGATACATCTATTTGTCGCTAAGCTCGTGTCCCAAAGAGTTGTCGGTGGCGGCGGGAGGGGGTAGGGGTGCGGTCAGAGTAAAGGGGTGTGCACTAAGCATATTTTACATCCTACTCTTGTACATCAAAGAATTGTTAAATTAGAAAAAATACGCATAAATTTATTTCAAAGAGGTTTTCAAAGAGAAACACAGATTTAAAAGAAATTGTATTTTGCCCCAAATCAACTCAAATTAGAAGTCATAAAATAGATTGTGAAATTGTGTAATCACAAAATCAGATGATTTACATTAGTTTTGCGGCCATCTATCTATATTTTTATTTCCTCATTTATTTAGACACTTCCCCTAATGCGAGTTCAGCTGGAAAATCGAAAAAAGCTGGAACAAATCTATAATGCTGTGCACATAGAAGTATATTGAATTTGGCTTCGCTTTGACACAGGATTGATGTTTGCATTGGCATATTTGAATTTCGATTTGATGGTCAAAATTGCAGTAGCCATAATATTTTTCTAACACTCGCGCAGTTTAAATTTATGCATGGCGGCTCTCTAATACCATTTAGAATAACAGAAATAATTTATTATTTTTAACACTTTACAATTTCAGTATATTGTGCGGTGTCGTTTTTATTATCGTTGCTGTTATTGTTGTTGTTGTTGTTGGTACTGTTATTCTTGCTGTAGGTTTTAGTGTTATTTGGGATATCAACAAAAGCGAATTGTTTATTTTTCATTTGGTCAAGCGGTGTTCATGTTGAGTTGGGTGGATTGAAATGGGCTGGGCTGGGGTTTTGGCACGTGGAGAAGTGAACGCGTTCGAGTGCGTGTAGATTTCAACACTTATGCTGAAAATATACATTTATAAATATTTTACAATAAATTGTGCAATAAATGTGAATGGAGTTAAATTTTATTACTCTAAAACTGAAAAACGGAACTCTAAAGTTTGCAATTTAAAATATGGGCACCTTTAGCAAGCGCATTATATAATAAAAGCATTTGACCATAAAGCCAGCCGATTTCATTTTAGCCAAATAGCGTCGCTCCTCACTGGCATATTCTGTAATGTCATAGCCCAGCATATAGCCAAGATAGGCTAAAGTGCACAGAAGCAAGAGAATTGTATAGGTATTCCAGTCATCTACAAAATTAACCCAAAAATAGAGCCTCGTTTTGTCTCCTATGTATAGTTAAAAGTAGACTTACCAAAAATTTGAACAGTGCGCTTGGCTCTATCGACTATTTTGCTGAATTTGGTGCACTTGTACCGTTGTAAGGGACTCACTACGGCCAGGATACTAGCATTCATCTGTGGTAATGCATCCCGCTGAGGCTCGGCAGCATGCTCCAAGTATGGCTTGTGTGTGAGTGGTTTCTAAGAGAGAATCACTAAAGTAAACAAGCAAGCAGTTTACTGCTTATGGGGCTCGCATTTACATACTGTTAATTACCAATACCAGCAGCTGTGCGAGCCACATAACAGCATGTTAAAACTTACCTCTACTCTGCGTCGCTTATATTGAACTGATTTTCGGCTTGTGTCAGCTGTGTCATAGCAGCTTTCATCTGTTGAACAATCATTTTTCTTTTTTTGATATTTAGTTTTCTTGATTTTTTTTGGATTTCTTTTCTGCACACTTGGAAGTGGCATTTCTTCTTGCCTACAATCAGGTTGTTGTGGCTTGTGTAGCTTAATTGTCGGCTTACCATCCAGCTGTTCAGTAAAGTTGTGGGCTTGCTGAGCAAACTTGCAATCCTTTGTATGCGCTTGCGTTATTATGTCCCACGGATACACATGTTGAGGTAATCCCATTTTGTTTTCCATGTGCTTTTGGATTTTTTCTTGCGCCCGGCATTCCATTTCGTTTTCGCCAAGTAGTGTTGACAGCTTGAATAGATCCTTGTTGGCTGAGACGGCGCAACGCTCCTGCAGCCCAGGCAGATTGAGTTGAGCCTGCAAATGACGATCACCGACGTGGCCAACAGTTTTGGTTGTTATTTGACCATCAGCCGTAATTATTACAGAGCTTGCACATACCGAGTCCAGCCTACAAGTATGTGAACTATACTTTATCACATAATTTCAGCAATTCAATTGAGCAATTAAGTAAAAACTTACGATTCGGATACAAAATCAGTGTTTCTATACAACTCAATTACCTCAGGAGGGGCGCCAGATAGTTGGTTGTGCTTGCTAAACAAACATTTGTCTAGCTTATATTCGCCGGCTGTTTATTTGAGATGTACTCACTGTGCGGTCGACCACATTCTTCACAGTTGAAAACCTATATAAAATTTAAAAAATAAAATACAAGGCTGAAAAAAGTAGAAAAAACCTGTTTTCAATGTCTTAATAAATTGAATAAGAAGTGAGAACGCTTTGCCTGCCTAGAAAGCAAAATTCCGACATATGTGTTACAGTTAAATATAGATTAACATAATCAGGCTCTAATATGTGGCTTCCACAGCTGTTAACAGTAATTTGCTGCAGTTCAGTTATGTTAATTCAAGCGTGCAAGCAGTTAACTGCTTGACCATAATATTGTGTACCAAATAATGATCTCACACATGAAATATATATGTATATACACAAGCATCACATCGCATACATACATATATTTATTAAGTTTGCCAAGCGCACAAATTATACAATTTGTCCCTTTGGGGATTTAGTTGGCAAATAACAGAGCGGAGATTGAAATGTTGCCACATGGCCACTGGCTTTATAGACCGCTGTTGCTGCTGCTGTTGTTGTTGTTGTGGCTGGCTACCTTTGAGCTGCGCAGGCGCAAAACCGCAGGCCATTTGCAGTACCCACAAGCCGGTCGCACACACACACACACACACACAGGCGGGCACACACACTCACACACCCCGAGAGATTCCCCTCCATGGACATTGCCTTATGCGATCTCGTCTCGTCCTGCCACATTGTCCTTGCCGTGCCTCGTTTTGTCCTCTGCTCGCTCATCAAAGCGGCAAGGTCCTGGGGCAACATTAGCAAACCGAAGCGTACGGCGTCGCTGCCGCGTTTCTGCCGTCGGCTGTCGAGTTTTTCACGCAGCGACGCTTTTTCGCCGTACAGTCAACGCCCGCTGCCAGCATCCGCAACTCCTTCAAACCTGGGCTGGCAGTGGGTGGCAGCCAGCTGTACATAAGCCTTTGTATATACCCAGCGAATGTTTCTGTATTGGTAAGTGTGTGTGTGTGTGAGGGACTATTCTGTGTGTAGCTGGCGGCCATTTCGTGCGGCGCAACTAAATGCACTTGTTGTTGTTGTTGTTGCTGCTGCTTCCTTTTTTAGTTGCTGCTGTTGCTGCTTAGCCGTTGCTTTGCCATTGCCGGCAGCTATTTGAGGCTGGAATGTGCCTGCCACAGGCAACGGCAACGGCAACGGCAGCAGCAACAACAGCTGCAGCTGACTGACTTCTTTGACTTTGAGTCGCCAGCTTTTTTCTCTCTCTTAGCTTTAATTGACTTTAAAGCTGCCAAAATAAATGTATATATAATCTAGAATGGAAACCAATTTGAAGCTGAACCGCCTCAAACACTGCATTTCATTTGGTTTTAGTTTTAATTATTTACCAAAACTTTAGACTTTAAAACATGATTTACATGAAATTGTGCATAGCTTGCAATATTTGCAGCATATTGAATGTTGGATTTGTTCCATTAAGTTCAAGCAGGTGGAAATCCAGCTTAATCCAAACTTAAATGTAGGAAATCGTTTCGAACCGCGAACCGAATTTTTTTGGCTTGCCTTCCTGCATTTAATATATAGATACTCAATCAGAGTGGGGCAATTATTTTCAACATACCAGTGGAGGCAGAACAAACAATTTGATTTTGTTGTGCAACTGACAGTTGCATAATTTCTGCATGAATGCCACTTTCAAATTCAATGCACACACACAAAATTCGTTTGTTGTTGCCTGTGTGTGTGTGTGTGTGACTGTTAATTAAATTGTGTCTAAACGTGCCGCCGTCATTTGCGTTTGCTCTGCGATTGCTCAATGAAGCGCATAATTGCATAGAAAATAGAAAATTGATAATGCTTTTGAAAATTTCGTTTATACCCAATTCTCATAGACATCAAAACAATCTCAGCGAATTTGAGTTGAGCAAACGGAATTAAACTTCAGTTTAACCCGACTAGAGATAAGCACACGCCTCTCAGGCATTAATGGGCACACATAAAAGGGTTGTACCTGTGTTGGAAATGGGTTTTATATATTATCAGATATGTGTAGTGCTCTACAGCGCTAAACGAATTAGCTATAAACAGACTTTGTTTGATTATCAGACAAATAATTACAATTCCTCATCATAAAGTGTCCTCAACACTAACCTTTCACATATTCTGTGTTGGAAATGTCTAAACTACGATGCAGTGTTGTGTAGCGCTGAAACAAAGCTGTAATTTAATTTATTGAGTAATAAACACATATATTTATTACTCAATGAATATAATTTTAGGCACGCACTGTCTACATATCTAATAAATATAATTTATATTCTAGCATAACATCTTATTTCTATAAATGTGTAATACTGATATTAAAAATTTCCAATACTAAAACAAGTAAAGGATTCATTCTAAACACTCTTCTGTGCAGCTTGCTCTTGAAACCCTTTCAAATAGATGTAGTACATTAGATACAGGGTAGCGCACATTCGCTCAGTCTTAAATGGACTAGAAACTTATGCCGCAGCATCTTAGCATAAGAATGGTGCACGGAAATGCCGGCATAGCTTCCGTTATGCCGTTTGCTTTAGATTCGTGGATGGGCGGAGAGCAAGAGGCTGTGCGGATGGGCGTGTGGGGTCTGGGTGGGAAACCCGCTTCAATGCGACGTTCGGTTAAACAAAAGCAGCGGTTGCGATGTGGCAAACGGGAAATTAAACGTTGCAGAGTTGCTTTCGTTGATGTTATTGTTGTTGTTGTCGATGCGGCGTATGTGTAATATTATTGGCACACAGCGCACAATGCGACAGAATGCCACATGTTGTTGTTGCTGTCCGCTTTTCATTCAGCATTGCAATTATGTATGAGCAGCAAGTGCTGATAACAGCAGCAGCAACTGCTGTGGCAGCAGCTGTGGCAGCTGCTGTGGCAAGTGCCACCAATGTTGGCCGCACAAATGTTGGCAAATAACAATTGCCATTTGGTCATTAAGTTTCGTTTTTAATGGCCATTTCCCTGAGTTGGTATTAAGTGCACTGCGAGTTATCTTCAAGTCACATAAATTGCCAGCTGATAAACGCGGCCAGAGCCAAAAAGTTGGCCAAAACCCGACCGAAAACTAGCTGATATAAACGACGGTTGCCCAAAAGAAAATTTTAATTAAATGTCGCCGCAAACGATGCGGTAATTCGAGCTGCTAGATGCAAAGCCACGAAATCTACAGACACATTCATTCAAGCAGCAGCAATTGCAGCCACAATTGCACTTGCATTATTTTAGCAATATGAAAATGATTTTGGCTGCCGGCAAGCGGCTCAATTTATCACAAAATGTACCACACCTCAGTCTACCTCCACCACCACCTCTCTCTCTCTCTCTCTCTCTCTCTCTCTCTCTCTCTTTCTCTCTCTATCTCTCTCTCTATCGCTCCTTGTGGCAGGTTGCACATGTCAAGCGTTTCGGATTGCACTTAATACCCATTTTATGTTTCCATTGGAATTGCATTTCCATGTGTCAGCAACATTTTTAGGCGCCTTCGAGCGCTGTGCTTTGCGCCATTTCTGATGGCTAATTTCTAGTCCGTAAATAACGAGGCCGCTTCACTGGGCTGCATATTTAAATCGGGCCACATTTCAATGTAAACAGCAAAAGAAAGAAATCCTTTTTTATATCCTATTCAAAATAACTAAAAAGGGTATAATTGTGTATTGTGCAGAAGGAGGCCTCGGGGCGATGAGTTTAGTCGATCAAGCCATGCCATGTCTGTTGGTCCTTCATATTATAGATAAATGTCGATATTGAGACGGGGTTTTTATCAGAGCTCAACATTTATAAGAGCTATATAAACCAATCCTTGCATATAAGTTGTCGTCTATTATACACAGATTAAGTATACAGTACGCCCTCGCTTAAAGCAACCCTTGATACACGTAACACCCGAAATCCGAACATTGTCTCAGTTGACACTACATTCTTAAAGCAGGACACTAGAACACTAGCTGGAACATCGCTGGCTTAAGGGTATTTCCAAGTTGGGCAGTCCCCATTAAAGCCTGCTTGTTTTTATTTCGGATAGTACCATAGAACAGGTACCAAGGCATAGAATCAAGCACTACGCAGCGCTGGAGGACATGCGGCGAAGGCCACAACAACAACAAGACCAACAACAACAACTGCAGAGCACGGTCTGTGTCTGGGCACTTTTGTTTGGCGTTGGCGTTTATGTGGCAGACATTACTGTACGAGTAACCCACACGCCAAGTTCAAAAATTCATCATTGTTGGCGTTGGCTGCATTGTTGCTCTGCTCTGCTCTGCTCTGCTGTCCTCTGCCTGTTGCCCCCCTGTCGCACTCTGTATGCTTCAGCCTGCAACAAGCCGCAAACGAAACTGACGCTGATGCCCGGCAGCTACTTTTGGGATGAAATATTATAATTACAAGCGAATAGCCCCAGGCCACGGAGCAGCAGGAGAGACAAGAGGCAGGCAGAGGCAGCAGCCGCAGCAGCAGCAGGAGACCAAAATCAGACCGAACCGAACTGAACTGAACGCTCGAGCTGCAGCCAGTTTGAGTATAGCCCCAGGCGCGCTCCCAACATGTTCGTGCGGAGAACGTTGAGAAGCAGGATGAGTAGTAGCAAGTGGAAGAGAGGCAACTTCGTTGTGTTTACATATATGCGCCGCTCTGCTCGCACTGCTCTGCTCAGCTGCTGCTGCTGCTGCTGCTGCTGCCGGCATTCGTGATAATTTAGATGCGTTTGCAGTGATAAGACTTGAAACTGGTTTGATCCGAGGAGCAGCATGTTTGAAGCCAACTGACAGACTTCGACTGCAGTTTGAGTGAGAGGGCGAGACAAACTTGGCGTACAACTGTTGTGCGTGGGTTGACTGCTTGATACAAAAGACAAAGAGAGTAAAAGGGGGAAGTGCAGAAATGGAACGAGCCAAAAGCCGTCATTAATTGCAACTTAATTGCTTGAAGCTATTTATTAAGTTTTTGTTTAATTTATAAAGCGGACAGCGGACAACTACAGACAAATACATAAGTACGTAATATTATTTGTGCGTGTTTGTTTTTGTATTTCACTCGTTTTCATTTCAATTTACTGCACGTCAAGCACAAAAGAACACACACACACATAGTGTGTATGTGTGTGTGTGTTTGTCTGTGTGTGTGCGCTTTCCTCATTTTACATAGCTGTCAGTTTTATTGAAAATTAGCCTCCAGTTAATTTTGTATACCATTAAATTTATACATGTTTGCCTCGCTACCTTTCTCTCCTTTTCCCCCCACTGGGCCTGTGTGTGTGTGTGTGTGTGATATATACATATATATTGGTCGCCTGGCGATTCAAAAAGTAATGCATGCAGATTATAACTTAAATATGAAATGTCACGCATTGACAGGCAGTTTTGAAAAGTGTGCAACAACAACAACAACAACAAGACATTAATACACCGACAAGTTTTACACCTTCGGGGCAACTGCGCCGCTGCCACTCCGTTTATGAGGCAGTGCCAGAGCCAAAGTCACAGTCCGAGTCAGAGTCCGAGTGGAAGTCGAAGCACCACCAGCATCATCAGAGCAGCCAACCACAAAAGGCGGCCACAAACCAGAAACAGGAATTGATGCGGCTCTGGCATACCCATCAATAAGCAAATCACAAAGGGTCTATACCAAAACGTAACCCTCAGAAAGAGTTAATAGAGAAAGTCCATTGATTATGTTTCCAAGGAATATTTAGAACTTCATGAAGAAACTTAAATCAAATCAATTATCCAAGTTAACTCCTCATTATTCAATTCAGCTGTTGAATACAAAATGTTGTTGTTTTTCCAAATTTCAAATAATGTAAATATCAAATATTTTCGCGATCTTGAATTTTCAATGGCAACCAGTTTAAGTGCATTTTCTAGAGGGTATTTCCTAGTCGAACATTCTTGTGGCATACCCGGCTTTTAGTATTTGCTTTGAGGCGAAAGTGTGCGCTCTGGGATGTGGTTATTCGGGCCAGATATGATAAGGGTCATGTAACTCTGCCCAGCCGGCTGAGGTGTGTGGCAGTTGGGCTGTGCCCCGAAATGCTTGGTATGTAATCAGGCCATGTCTCTTCTTCAACTGATATACCCAAATTTGTCAAACTGCTGCTTAAGCAAAAGGCTTTTCAAGTGCTTAACACGTGCTTAATTGGATAAGTGGAGCTCCTTAGACTTTCCACTCCACATATTTGCAGATTCTTTTGAAAACCGAGTCCAACATCGGAAACATGTGAGGACATTGATATTCCTTAGGCTTTATTCGGATTAAGATCGTATTGTTGTTATGAACATGTGGATAGTAATAGCAAATTAGGCTGAGGCCATCGATGAACCTGTCGAACAATTGAAAGCAATTAAAGTCTGATTCCGAAAAGAGCCTCGCAGGCACTGCGACACTTACATGGCATAGGAGCAGCCCAGTTGATAGGTTTGCGGCTTTATTATGTGCGTAAAACTATTATCACCAAGAATCCTATGATACGTGTGTTTCTTGTGTTCAACCTTTTGGGGGAAGTTCAGTTCAATATGTGTTTCGTACCAGCTGCTCAAGACGAACGGTATGAAGTTTGTGGAATAAATGTTCTTTAGAAAAAAGCTACTTCGTGCCACATCGATGTGTTGACCTTTGACAACTTTCTTATATTCTCGTGGATCTAGTCCTTTTGCTGATAAATTGGCTGTAATGTCACAATCTATAAGGCGCTGGCAGTATTTGTGGTGGCGTCTGGCTAGCTCGGCCAGATTGTTGTCCCAGGACATTTCCAGCATGTCGCAGGCATCCAGCTTGTTGGCCAGCCGATTGCGCAATCCATTGTGGCCAAAGAGCAATAGTTCCTTGATGTCACTGTACTCCTTACCACGAAGATTGTAGATATTCATCAGCGAGGGACAAGCTATGCGTGAGCCGAAATATTCGAAATTGCCATCACAATTCATTAAATTATTATCTTCTGGCGGTATAAACAATCGATTCTCATCAACAAAATTATCTGTGGCTACACTGTGCAAAACCAGTTGCATGCAAAACCACAAAAGCGACATTTTCCTATTCGAGTAGAATTGTATTGATTTTCAAAGTGTTTTATGTGTCATAAAATATGTGAATCACCTTTGAGATACTTTCGAAAGGCTTCTTAATTAACAAAGTAAATTTAATTGGGTAAAGACCAAAGTCCATTTTCTTTCTAACGTTAGGCAGATATATGACACAAAACTTTGCTAAGACTTTATACTTTATCCTTTCTTATTAAGCTCTTCTTGGCTCTTTCTCAAAGTATTGCTTATATTGTTTAATATATCTTCAACTCCTTGCTCAAGTATCTGTCGTGCCTATATTTTTTAAATATTTATATATTTAAGTTATTTTGCCAAGTATCGGCCAGCAATTTTGACTATAACATGCCTACATTATTAATGAAAATTGTTAACAATTATTTATTATTTTTTTGTAGAATGTCAACGCAAGCAAATTGCCGCACTTAGATTCTATTGTTTACATATACAATACCAACTATAAGCAAATGCTTATATGTAACTCTCTTAATTATGTTTAAATTTAATTATAATTAAGGCTTCGTTCGTTCTTGGCTCTTCCCACGCTTCCCAACGTCAAGATGTTGTCTTCCTAACTTCAATTACGCTGTCTTTAACTTGGCTCCAACTATTCGCACACTTATTTTGGCCCACTTCTCAGCACACTTAACGCTTTAGTTGGGTTTGACTACTGTTTAATTGTAAGTCTGGAAATGTTTTTCACACGTTTTTTCTTTTTGGTTTTTTTTTTGCACTGTTTGTTTTTCCATTTTTTTGTTGTTACTTTGTTTTTTGCTGCTGGCCGTTGACAGGTGCCTAAAATGCATTTGCACCATTTTTCAGCGTGCGAATTTTCACTTCACATATGCAACAGCGCGTGTTCGTGTGTGTGTGTTGGTATGTGGGTATGTGGGTGTGTGTGTAACACATGTCTGCAAATTGCTTTACTAACTGACTGACTGACTGACTGTGACTACTGACTGAATCGACAGTTGTGGCTGTTGCTGTTGTTGCTCATGTTGTTGCTGTTGTTGTTGCTGTTGACGGCTCTTGGCTGCTGTTTGGTTTGTGTCTGCCAAAGTGTTGAGTGTGTGTTGAGTGTGTGTGTGTGTGCTGGCACGCGTGTGTGTGCGTGTAACTGCATTAATGTGAGCATATGCTTCGTTGAGTCAGCCGCTGTCCACAATGGGGCTTGCTGCTGCTGCTGCTGTTGCTGCTGTTGCTGTTATTGTTGTTGTTGTTGTTGTTTTGGCTGTTGTTGTTGGCATAACATTACAGACAACTCCATGGCCATATCATGTACATTAATGTCCATAGCTGGCGCTGTTCACCGGTTGCCGTTTAACGCAACAATTAAACAAACAGCCGCGTGCAACATAAACACACACACACACACAAGCACAAGCACACACGCACACACGCACACAGGTGAAAATGCCTTACTGCCATATGGCCATATACACTATGGGCAGCCTATGATGGACTGGGCGTGGCACATCCTGGGCGGCCTATTAAGTGATTTTAACACTTTGCGCATGAAAATTGCAAAAAGGCAACGCCGTTGATAATTATCCCTTAATTGTTTAATGAGCGGCACTTGAGCAGCGACCGTAGCAACAACACCAACAACAACAACAACAAAAGCAAAAACCGAAGCATCCTGCAGGTTGTGTCAGCTTAATTAATGTCAATTTAATTACACCGATGCACACAGTTGCAAGCATAAGCCTTGTACGCAATAAGGATACACAAGTATGTACACTCACATGTGTGAGTGCGTGGATGTGCCTGTATGTGTGTGTGTGTGGTGGGGGGATTAAAATGGGCTTAATGAATAGCACTGTGAGTTCGTAAAAAAAAAGAATTTTTTATTTGAAGGCGGAATTTAACTCAAATATGCAAGCTTTTTAAAATTATAATTCTCTTAAAGACAATATTTTAAAAGATTGATAAACAACTTTCTCCAACAACTACCTCCTTTGGTTTGGTTTAAAAAAGAAAACTTTTGAGAAAGATCTTGGCTCAAAGTATAAATAACTTCGACCCCAATCATTCCAGTTATCTAACCAACTTTGGTAGAAGCCAATTTTCGTTTGAGATCTAATTTAGCCCACAATTTGTATATGAAAATATTTACGACTGGCGATATTTTCAGTGCAATGGGCATTTGTAAAATAAAAATAATTAAATTCATAATTTTATAAATATAATAATTAGACTAAAACTTAACGCAGGATTTTGGATCCAACCTTAAGCCGAACAACCACCAATTTCTTTTGGGATTGCAGCCCAAAATATTTGTTCCAGATTTATGGAGGCAATGGTTTATAGATAAAAATATACAATAAGTATAAATACTTACTAAAATAAATTATATAAAGCAATTTGACAATGGAATTAATACTATGTAGGGCACTTTTAATGGGCGAGAAAGTAAATATTAATTCAGGGACGTCCGAATCCGTAGTCTAGCTCTAGTTAAATCTCCTAAACTATTATTATTGTGCCCTCAATTTATAACCTTTTCTCGTATTAATCTTAGTCTTATTTCCGTAGTTAATATAGTTGTCTAAAAAAAAAGACATCAGTCAGTTTGGTTTATTTGACTGTGTATCATTTGCACGCACTCTCTCTTTCTTGTCTATGTCTCTATTAGCCAGCTCTGTTAGGCTGATTAATGTTCAGCTGCAAACGAGCTGGGAGCTGGGCGCTGGCAGCTGGGAACCGAGCACTGTGTAGTCGGGCTCTTTAGCAATTGGAGCCTCGACCCCCATCAGTGGGAACAGAACTTGGTCGCTTGTCAGTGGCAGCGTCTTTTACCCTTTTCTCTAGTCAATGGCCAGCGGTCATGTGTTGTTGTCGTTGTTGTTGTTGTTGTTGTTGTTGTTACTGTTGTGTGAGTCCAATTATGATTTAATGTTGTTATTGCCGTTGCCACTGATGGCCCAATCTAGAACCAATTCAATTGTATTAGCCGTAACAACGCATTTCAGTGGTTTTTCGCATTTGTGCTGAGACAGAGATAAAGTATATATATTACATATATATATAAAAGACAAATGGCCCGCTATATACATACATATGTATTTATAAGTATATATATATGTATCTGTGTGGCATATAAAATAGTGAATGTAATTTTATTCACATGTATCGCCTGGGGCCAATCCGTTTTGCCCCCTGGCCACAAATTGCACAGCGGCAGCAGCCAGCAACCCCGGAACCCCAGAGAAGGCGCACCTCGTTGCCACAGCCCAGGCCAAAACCAGCTGGGAATGTCTGTGTATGTGTAGGTGTGTGTGTGTGTATGTGTGTGAGTGTTGTATGGCATATTATATGGCAAAGGCGGCAGAGTGCGGGGCAGAGAGTTGAAATCCATCATTGGCGCATGGCCGGCGGCAACATTTGGGTTGAAATATTATAATTACAAGCGAACGCCTCAGGGGCAAGGGTAGGTGAGGCGCTGTGGCAGCAACGTTTGCGAGCGTTGCCATCGCGTGTCTGTCCGTCTCGCCGTCTCTCCGTCTATCTGTATCTCTATCTAACTGAGCTGAAACTCAACAAAGCTGCGGATATGGATACTTAGTTGCTGCTGCTGCCTTTGTTGCTGTTGTTGCTGTTGTTGCTGCTGTTGCCGTCGCCTGTCGCTGTGCGTTGTTCGGTTGTTGTGTTTACGTTGTGGCTGATAATATGGCGCGTAGTCGCAGCAGCTTGTTGCCTCAGGCCTGCCGCGTTGCAGCACGTTCGAGCAGCAACATGTTCGATGCAACAGAATTAACCAAACACAATTTTGGTGTTAGTCATGTCCTTTAGACAGCCATTGTCCTTGCACGTTGGCTGTTTGTTGTGCGAGTGTATTTGTGTGTCTGTGTGTGTTTGTGCGTGTGTGTGTTTAGTTTTTGTTTTTGGTTGTGTTTTGTTTGCTCAGGTGACAGCGGCGAACGGGAAGCAGGTGAATAACATGCAATGTAATTTTTTTATTGTCGTGGTTTTTGCGGTGTACTATAGATACCCTGTAAATTAACTGAATAAGGGGTCTACACACATATATGTTTTTAAATTAATAAACTTTGTGCAATGCAGCTGAAAGGCGACTTTTTGATTTGAGTTCGAAGCAAATTGTTAAGAACTTCTCCTTTTGTAATCCCCAAGCAATTGATTCATGCTCAAAATTTGGTTTATGTTAAGATATTATATAATATTATTATATTGATAATTGATCAATTACCTGTTTAAATAGATCTCCTTCGCTGTCCAGCTCTCTCCAACACGTGGTATCCAACTTGCCTGCTTGCCATTAGAGCTTTGCCGCTTGTTTGGCTTGGTACTTGTTGCACTTGTGCGTGTGTGGGCGTGGCATGCGAAGAAAAAACAATAACAAGCGGCGCCCACATTGTTATTTGAACAAGTGTTAAAGGCAGCGAAGTGGGCCAAAATGAGCTGCACATATGAAATTAATCAAGGGCAACAAAGACAACGTTGACAAAAAACTTGCCACACACACATGTTGCACACATACTGGCAGCAGTGGCAGCTGTCTCCGAAATTACAGTGCATATATGTTATATGTATGCACATAAAGCATAATTTAAAAATAACAAAAAACTGGCCAACCTTCGACATCGGCCTATAATTATGTTTGGATATACGAGTCCAGGCGAGTCCAGTCTGTGGCAGTGCCACAATCACAGCTCATAATTGTCCCCGAAATGTTTTGCTGGTGTCCAGTGGCAGTCGCAGTGGCAGCAGCAGTGTCTCTTTCAGACTCTGGCAATCTCTGCTGCGGTGGTTGTGGCAGCAGCTGCCAGGTGACAAGTCCTCAACGGACTTCAAGCAGTCTGCGTACCCTCATTATATGCAAAATGCCAAAATGCGGCCTGCAGCTACTTAAGTTTAACTTATTTTTAACTTCTACATATAATTTTTTTTTTTGCTGCTGCCGCTGCTGCTGCTGCTGTTGTTGTTGTTGCTTTTGCCTTGGGGCATTCTTAGTTGCATGTTCGACGCAATCCTTTTCCTTTCCAGCATTCAGAGTTCTGCAGCAAATAAAGAAACTGGT